AAACTTTAGAAGTTCCACTGGAGAACGTTCATGCTTTTGTGCCTTTGAAATATTTTGTATGGTGTGCATGATCAGTCAGAATGAGAAAACCAGTTATCGCTTTTAAGTTTCACTCTTTCATACTTGCCATAATTGGTAGACATTGGATGTGAAAGTACAGTAATGCTCCATTGTTCCTTATCAAGCCAAAACTGTTTTTCAGAGACTTGTAGCACTGGATTCAATAATCTATAAACCGTATGGTTCAATTACTAAACTCCAGTGAGACAAACTGCCCTTGAAATCCTTTATCCTTGACAGACAACAGTAGGTGTATTTGGATATCCATTTTATATGTGCATTTAGGTAGCAGTGAAATTGCATCCTAAATTATTGTTTCTCTCAGGGAATGAATGACACTTTATTTTCAGAAATGCTCAATTTAACCTACTCAAATTTAATACATTTTCCTCATATATTTTATTACATTATCCAGTTTTCCATCTTGTATAATTGCTGGTTAAAAGGAAGCTGCCTAAAGGGAGAAAAATCACTCAGGGAAAGAGGTGGGTGGGTGGTGTCAAGCGTAAGGAGAAAGGATATTGGATGGGAGAAGACAGAATGAAAACCAAGTGGTGAATTGCTATGTCTAGGCCACCAGGAAGACTAATGTGATGAGGCATAGAAACAGATACATGGGACAAATAATAAAGCCAGACTACAAAACAAAAAGCCCTTCATAAAGAGGCTGAATGTCTCCTTTCCCAGAGTATAACTTTTTATTTTGACCCATACAGTCAATAGGGAGCAAATGCCAATAGGATCTCTTGCTTTTGGGATCTATCACACAGAAGCTTTCCAGGTCACACACACTGAAAGCAGATACACTGGGGGACATAAAAATGAACTCCACAATCAGTGTATTTTGCTGCAGTGCTATGCAGTGGAGCTATAGAATATAGTCTCATTATACTGTGAATATCTGGCCCAAATGTTCAGGGCAGCTAAAACTGGCAAATGTTGGGGGAATGTTTTCCCTGCCTCTACCAACATATTATGTGTAGGATGGAGAAAGACAAATTCACTTATCTGATGAGCAGAGGCAAGAAAGACTAAAAATGGAGGTTATGCTATATTTGATCTACTTGCTTTGGGAAGGGAAAATTCATCCAAAAACATTTATTGAGCACCTACTATATGTCGGGTTCTGCTCAAAGAAGAGAACTTGGGACAGATCAGGGAACAGAACAAAGAGCCCTGTCTTTGTGGAGCTTATGCATTAGTAGAAGAGACAATAGACAAGGGACATAGGAATTAAGCAAATTAGGCAGATTGTTAGAAGGTGATATGGTAAGAGCCTTAGGAAAATACAATACTAAAAAGTTGGCATGTCAGGGTTATAAAGCGTGGGGATTGGGAGTGGTGGCTGGCGACAGTAGTAAATAGATCGGTCCCAGGAGGCCTCACTGAGAAGGTGACATTTGAGGAAGGCTTCAAGGAGGCAAGGGAATAACCAGGCAGATACCTATGGGAAGACCATTCCAGGCAGAGAGAAGAGCCTGTGCAAAGGCTGTGAGGTGGGACCAGCCTGGCACAGCCAAGGAACAGCAAGGTCAGTATAGTTGGAGCCCAGTGGGTGAGGGGGAAAGCAGTAAGAAACAAGGTAATGGGGGGATTGCAGATTATGTAGGGCCTTGTGCCCTGTTTCTCTTCTTACTCTTTCTTACCAAGTCACCTTACACACTGGGTTCAGGGAAAGCAGACTGTAGGCTGATAATCATGCAAGCAGGGTTGGGACTAGGATGAGGCAAGAGAAGCGATTAAGTGCAAAATTTAAAGAGACACTCACTCTCTAGTGCCAGCTCCGTGCTTACACGGCCCTAAGAGCAAAGACACCCTTAAATTTTACTTGCTAGGTAACTTACTTGCCTTCCTCTAGTCTCAGTCCTGATGCAAAGCATCCTTGCTACTGTATATCTGTCTGCAAAATAGGTTGGCATTTCTACTCCCCACATCCATCCTCTCCCACTGTCACCTACCCACATCTCAGCCAGAACTGTCTATCCTGCTATGGGCATTAGCAGGAGGAACAGCTGGAAAAACCAACTGGGATGATGAATTCACTCCTCTCTTTAGCCATCCTGGTTACCTCCCCACTCCCAACTCTAGCAGGCAGAGAGAGGAAGCAGCATTCTGGGCTAGATTTCGTCTTTAAGCCTCTCACCCGCTGGCAAGTGTGTGGACATGGTTGAGAAGCCTTGCTTCCAGAGCCCAGGAAGATGTATTCAATCAGCCCGTGACTCTGGGATTACAGATGTAATTGAAGAACCACTTCTATGATCGAGTGCACAAGGAGAGTCACTCCAAGTTGACTCAATGGCAGGCAGAGGCCAAGAAGCAAATGCTCCACATAAAATAAATATGCCTTAGGATATGCTTGCTGTTTATTCTCCCCCAAGGAACTCAGAGAACTTGGAGGATTTCAAATTATTAAGAAAATAACAATTGCTTCTCACAATGTCTCTGGAGGGTAGACAGGGCAGTGGCCTGGGAAGGGGGGCAGGTCTTCCTGGTGGACGGACAGTGTGTGGTGCCACCAGCTCTCAGCTCCATCAGGGCATGCTGTCTGCCATTCCAGGAACATCATCATCCATCAACAGACAGATGAGCCCAAGATGCACTGGCTCCACACGAGGGTCACCTGTCTCCACTTTTTCTTAAAGAGCCCAACTATGTTAAACTGCATCTTAGGTAGTTGACAAAGGACCACAGCAAAGTCTGAGAGGGAGGAAGCGGGACTATGGAATGAATTTAAAAAAACATTGATTTTCCACTTAAGAAAATGCAAGGGTCATAATCGTGCTCAATTTCAGGAACAGACACAACTTTTAAAGATTTCAATCAGAATTAACGTCAACCCCATATTCAACTTTGTTGTAAAATTTACGTGAAGGGTGCTATTTTCTCTAATTATTGCATTGTAGGCTAAGTTGAAGAAATCATGAAAAGTCATATTCCTTAGGCACAACATAATACGCATATTTTTAGGTGTGAATGGTATTACTGCTGAAAAAATTTTTATTATTGTCTAATACAGCAACTTCGATCAGAAAAATCCTTTTGTTTAAACAGAAACTTGGCTGTCCCTTGAAAATCTTGCTTCTTGTTAGCTGCTGTCTTCAGTGATCACTGTGTATTTTCTCACATCTCAAGTGTTTCACAGTAAGAAGCTGGGTTTGGGATCTTTTTGCTCTCAATGCTACTTCTAAAACACTACCTTTCAATCTTCTGGAAAAAAAAAAAAAAAATCCTAGTTCCCATGAAGCAGCCAAAAGAGTTTTTACCTCTTCACTTCTGCCATCTACTGAGCCACCCTCATTCAGCAAAGAGTTGGCAAGTGGCTCACAGTTTCTTCATTCAAAGCTTTTTCACTAACCTTGGCAATATTAACATTATAATCATCCCATATTCTAGCTTCTCAGTACTCTAATCTCCCATTTTCAACGGCCTTGTCTCCACTCACCTTAGTTACTTACATACTTGGACTCTGTTTCCTTGGTTGCTTCAGATAAGAGTTGGTGACACTTCCCTGAGACCCAGGTATCCCAGGCAATAGGGCTTATGCCTTGGGACCTAGTGCAAGAGGTTGTCCTCTAGCCCTTCTCTTCTGATTCCCATTTAAAGGGGTGAAAAAGCCTGAGTCAGCCAAGAGAACATTTTCCCTGAAGCCCACACCTTCTTTCTCCAGTCACTCTCCAAGTACCTAGGACCCCAGATTTCCCCTACTCCAACTGCCCCAACCCCCTGGGGAAGGCTCTTTGCAGGAGATGTGGACAGACTTTAGACATTTGGGCTTGGGTGTCCATACACATGACTGTGAGGCCCTTTGTGGTGCAAAATAGAGCTAAAGTTGGAAAAAGAAGAGAGATCAAATGCACCTCATTTCTCATTAACAAGAATGACTGATGCATCTTTATCAATAACAGCTTTAGTCCTGCTTCCTAGATAGGATTTACTAAGATACCCTCTCATAGGATTGTTCCTGCTTGCTGACAGCACCCAATCCATTGCAAAACCCTTCTCCCTTGAACCGTCCCCCAAATCACCTACTATAAGCCCAAGTTCTGTAACTCCACTCTAATACACTTTTACTGAGATACCCCAGCTCCCCACAACATGTGTTCTCCTTTGTTGTATGAGCAAACAAACCCAACTTGACCATAGGTATGTTCCCGGGGGTCTTTGACTGGTTGGCATCACCATTCCAACAGCTAGCATCACAGAATGGAATCTTATCTAATAATTAACAGTAGTAATTAATATTATCATCCTGAAAAGAAAGTCAAAAAATCTAGAATTACCTGAAACAATATTAATGAACTTTCTAAACAATGCGGAGTGAAAAAAGCAAGTCATAAAATAATGTATACTATAGTGTGAATCAATGTACAAGTGAAAAAAATTGGTGAAGTTACATCATTTAGGGCTGACATAAATTTGTTCTTTGTGCTCTAAAGAAGTGCAAAGTAGGGATCACTGTAATAGTCAGGACAGTGGTCACCTCTGAGGGTAAACAGGTCATTCTGATGGGAATGGATACATGGAAGTGTTTCAGGTACACCCAAGTTTCTATTTCTCAATTTAGATGGTAGTTACATGGATGCATACTTTATAGCCATTAGTTAAAGCATATAAATAAGTTGTCTGCATTCTTTAAGTATGTGCATTTCACAAAAACAAAATGCAAGAAATTAGGAGTAAGAGTGCTAAAGAGGACAAGACAAATACATTGATATTCCTTTCACAAGACAGTTTCCTTAGAATTTGGTTAGCATGGATTAATTCACCTGATGCCAATTATTCATGAATAAACAGCCAAATTTTAGCCTCCGAAATTGCAAAGATGATTAACAGCCTTTGGACTTAATTGTGATGACTGGGACTTTCTACCTTAGAAGGCTTTAACCAAAAGGAATCAGGTGTCCCTAGCTGCCTCTCTTAGTAACATTCATAAACCTTACCTTGAAAGATATTTCAGTTGTCATGGTGAAGCCATGGGTGATGACAGGTTCCTCTTCTGCAGTTCGTCCCTTCCAGCAGTCCAGCTCCACACAGCGACAACCAGACAGAAGCACTTGGCGATACATCTCAACAGAGGAGTTTCCAGCCAGTTGGCCAGCTATAAAACACCAACAAAACAAACCCCAGATTCCCAATAAGCAAGGAAGACAGTGGTGCTTTCTTAGAAAGGCTCCTCAATAGTGGGAAAACAGAGTCTAAGAGCTGGAGCAGTTATTCTTTGCCTTTCTTCTGCCTCAACACACCAGAAGGTAATGGCTCAATCTCAAATAGAATCTGTAGTAGTGCTTTGAGGAAAGATAGGGCATTGTAACAATAACAACGATGCACGTTTATTAACTATTTACCATGTGCCAATTACAGGTTTTTGGACTGTATATATATTAAACATTTAATCTGCACCAAAAAACTCTGTGGTATAACTATTTAATAAAAAAAAAATACCCATTTCACATAATAAAATGGCACAGAGTTCAGTTGCCCAAGATTCCACTGCTAAGAAGTAGAAGATCCAGGATTATAGCATCAAAACTCACTCTTTTAATTCTGACTGCCTCCTGATGAGAATTTATTGCTGGAAGACTGTTCTTTTATATAAGCCAGCTGCCTCTGACATGTTTGCTGAAGGCACAAATGCTGAGAAAGCTAAACATTCTGTTTTCTCTTCTAAAAAAATAAATTTAAATTAAACAGAGGAGTGCAAAACTTATTCTCTAATAATCACAAAATGTTGTTGAAAGAAACTAAAGAAGATCCAAATAAATGGAAATACATCTCATGTTCATGGAACAGAAGACTTGGTATTGCTAAGATGACACTACTCCCCACCATTGGCCTAAAGATACAATTCTTATCAAAATCTCACCAGGCTTTTTTGGAAAAAAGGGACAAGCTGATCCAAAGTTCATACAGAAATGTAAGTAACCTTAAATAGCCAAAGCAATCTTGAAAAATAAGAATAAAGTTGGAGGAATCACACTTCTCAAAACTTACAACAAAGCTACAGTAATCAAGACCATGTGGTAGTGGCATAAAGATAGACATATAGATTAATGGAAATAGAACTGAGATTTCCAAACTAAACCCTCAATTTATGGTCAACTGACTTTCAACAATTGCCAAGACAATTCAGTGTGAAAGAACAGTCTTTTCAACAGTGTTGGGACAACTGGATAGCCACACACACACAAAAGAAGAAGAATCCTTACCTCATAACATACAGAACTAAACTCAAATTGGATCAAGTGTATAAATGTAAGAGCTAAAACTACAAAACCTTTAGGAGAAAACATAGCAGTAAATTTTTTGTGACCTTGATTAGGCAATGGGTTTGTAGATACAACACCAAAAACACAAGCAACAGAAGAAAAAGATAAACTTTACAAGAATTAGACTTTTGTGAGTAGAACATACCCTAGTAAAGTGATGAGAATTATTATAATCAAAACACCTGAAAGGTCTGAGGGCCTTGATTATAATACACAGGGCATGGAAGCCAAAAGCTCCCATTTTACTTAAGTCAATGGAAGTCACTAATTTCAGGATAAATTATTTTTGAAAGAGTAATAATAAACAGCTCTTTCAACAGGCCCATTCGCAACACATAAATTTAAGTCTTTGGTTTTCCCTATTAAAGATTTTCTTTCATTTATACTCTATAAGCCCCAATCATTTTTTTAAAGTTTTTCTTCTTCTTTCTTTGAGATGGGATCTCACTCTGTCACCTAGGCTAGAAAGCAGTGGTGTGATCATAGCTCACTGAAGCCTCAACCTCCTGGGCTCAAGTCATCCTCCTTCCTAAGCCTCCTAAGTAGCTGGGGCCACTGATGTGCACGAGCATGCTCAAATAATTTTTGTATTTTGTTTAGAGACAGGGTCTCCTTATGTTGCCCAGGTTGGTCTCAAACTCCTGGGCTCAACTGATCCTCCTGCTTCTGCCTCAGGAAGTGCTGAGATTACAGGCATAAACCACTACATTTGGTCTACCATCATTTTTTTAAATAGCCAGTTAAAAGATGGCATATTGATGCAAACTGTTAAAATGACTTTGAAATGGACAAGATGTGCCCCGTGGAGACACACAGGACAAATAAAATGGGATTAAGCCCACTAGCTTAATTTTATTTTTATATGCATGTCATAATACTCAACCATCAGCATAACAAAAGTATGACATTTTTGAGTTCTATGGAGCCCTAGTAAATGCACTGAAAGGCTGATTAAGTGGGTCTGCATAATAACTTTTCCTTACTGGAAAAATGGGATGTTTTTAACACAATGATGCATTTGGAAAAGCAGAAATGCTGACAAAATGACCTAGAAAGTTCCTGATGCTGGATAATCAAATTGCCATTAATAATTGCTTCAAAGTTCATTGTCATGGCAAAGATTTACAAAGGTCTTTTTTGCATTAGGGACAAGGGGACAGTGGGAGTAAAGGGGAAAAGACAAACATTTATATGTTATTCCTAAACTTAAAGGGGAGCTATAGCTAAAGGAAGTGAATAATTCAAATATTATTCGGTTATTTAATTTAAAATACTTGCTCCTGCAGAAAATTACACTTGTATTAAAGAATAGAGCAGATTTTTGTGTGTACTGTTTAGAGAATTGTTTAAGCACATTATAGACTATATCAACACAATTATATTTTGCACAATTTCTGAATCAATTTCATTAATACTAGTTGAATGTTACTAACTTTAGTAAGGATAGCGTGATGAATTTAATCAGATTTAACAGTGTATCAAAGTAGATAAATACCTAACAGACACTAGAGCATTCTGTAATAAGAGGTTCAACGTTTTGAGAAACATTTCCTTAGATTTTCTTGTGAATATTTTGAATCAAAGAACAATTAGAAGGAATTTGATGTATTTTTTGAATGTTGATCAGTTAATGTTTTGAAAACCATGGTAAGGCATGAGGTTGGGTTTGTGAGATGCAGAGGAATGTGGGGAAAAAACTGAAAAATAAAAAAGAGAAAGAGTTTATTGTTCAACAGCTAAGACCAAAAGAATCCCTCCAAGGTAAACTCATTGTTCATTCTTAAAATGAATACTTTTTATTAGAAATGGAAGCCTCCCAAAGAAAGCATACTTTGAGAAAACCCACATTTATCCATAATTATCCTATTCCTTGGAATGCATGTTAGGTTCCCTGTATGTTTTACTTCATTTATGGAAATATTTTTCAAACACATGTATTCATATTCTCTGTTACTCTCTTCTTTTCTGCCTTAAGCCTCAAAGCTGATTTATTTTTGTTCACTAAAATTCTTAACTCCTCATTATTACATCTCATCTACCCATTATATTTCCATTTGAATATATTGACTAAATATAGCTTCTGGGGCTAGGGGATCGCTGAAGGTTGAGATTAGTGATAGGTCATGAGTCATTCAACCTTTGGTATTTCTGAAACTAGTATTTGACATCATCTCTCCCTGGCTCTGAACACCCTCTGGAATACATTCCAAGCCCATGATTGAACTTGGGAGCTGAAGCTCCTTCTCAGAGTAATTCATAATACTGCTCCAAGTCACAGCTCTGCAACTTCTCACTTGACTGCATTCATTTTGGGTGGCTGGTTACATTCCCTTGAGCTTTGTCTCACATTACCCAAGGCATCCAGGGATAGAAAAAACCAGAAGATCGAAAATAGCAATCCTTCCATTAACACAAACTTCTGAAGAATTTCTCGTCTTGCAGTGGCTGATGATTAATTGCCTGTTTTCATATTTATCATTAATGTCTTCCCTCCAACCTCCAGGGTAAGAAGATTCTAGAATGTGATATATTTGTGAATTCAGTGGCCTTCTTCAATAGTCATTGTCCCCTTCAACAGATGGGAATGAGGACTATATTTCCTTGCTTTCAATGCTATGACAGCCATTCAGGGCATGTAATCTCATGGCTACACCTGAGGAAACTGTCTAAAATGCAGAGAATGTATTATTTGTCTTGACCATCTCTAGATGCATCTGTTGGATCTGATTTCTCACTTACATGGCACCTGCCTGCTGCCCCAGTGAAACCATGGTGCTCTCTTGAACACAGAGCAATTGACATGAGATGGCTTAGGAAACGAAGTGTCTATGTAGGAGCCTAAAGTCATTTCCACTCTTGAGAAAACGACTTCAAGTATATGCCTTCCTGATTAGAGGAGCTTCACCATTATGTGTTTGTACATATTCCCCAAAACATTTTCTGTGGGAGGCAAAATACTGGTTACTGGGGATATGAAAATGACATGAGACATATTCCTTTACCCTTACCATCTAGGTAGGGAGGCAAACATAAATTTATTCCCATTCTTACACTTCCAGTTGCCCTTTTGTCTCTTCTTTCTCTTTTTCCTTGTCAATAAAATATTTTATCTAGGTTCTGATATGCTTCAGAGTCTTCTCTGCAGCCTTGGGGTAAATCTTGACTCTTCTCAGTCAGTCATGATAGTTTTATGGCCCATGTTAGCAATTACTGTGGGCATTGCTGTGCGGTGTGACTCTGAGCTAAATATAACGCAGCATAAAGAATGCCTACCAGATTGAGGGGACGGAGGTGGGGGCTGTCAGGGAACCTCTAGGAACATTTTCTTCATTCTTAGAAGGGTCACAAGAACTTTCGCCATCTCCTTTGTGGATCTTGGTAGCGCTTAGAGTGCACAGTCATCTTGAAACCATAAGGGGACCAAAAAGACAGAAAGCACCTGGGTCTTCCATAATATTAATGAATTTCTGATTTAACCAGTCCTCAACCACTCTGCTCCTAGGTGCCTTGCTGTGTGAGGTAATACACTGCTTAATTCTTTAAGCCATTAAATAATAGCATCCTATCACTTTCAGCCACAAGAACCCTGGCTGTTTTAATTTATCTCCATTTTACAAACAAAGAAACCAAGGCTCAAATGAGATAAGTATGTCATTTACTTAAAGGCCATTTTAAACTGGGCCCTGTTTATTTCCTAAGCTCATCTTTTCATTCTACCACCTGACTTTCTTAGGTATGTGTGTGCTCTAAACCAAAAGCAAATGATTAAACGTTGCATATGCTAAGGGCTAAATGAGTGGGAGAGATGGGAAAGAGAGGAGGGATGTTCAAA